ATAATTTGCATTTTTCATTAAGCTGTTAGTTGGCCAAAACAAAACACCTATTATATATACTGAGTAGGTATTTTGCATTGTTAATCTAAAAATTTTAGATTAGGATTGTTTTTCATACTTCTCTAAGTTCTTTAATAGTTATTAAGATATTTCTACATGAAGTCTACCTCATGTACCATATATACTGGTCTTTTAGGTAATGTGCTAAAGCACATTGATTAAACGTATGCTTGAGATTTATTAAATTCTAAAATAAATTATATTGTTACTTTCTCATCAATTTTTATTTTCCCATTACCAGTTATCATGCTCTTTCAATCACTAAGTTATTTGCCCAATTATAAGCTATATGTTAACTTGACTTAGTGTTAGAATTACTTAATGTTAACTTTGTATATTTTTTGTTATTGTTGCAATCAATTAATATTTAATTAATATTACTAGTATTTAGATACTTTGCTGGTATAAGAACTATTTAGTCAGTAGGTAAAGCACATGCTTTTTGGGCAGCTGACCTGCTGGATGCAATCCCAGGAACTACGTATGTATGATTCCCCCAGGAGTGAAACCTCATCACTGAGCCATCAGGAGAAACTCTGAGCAATTTTTACTCATCACAAAAGAAAAAGGAACAGACACTGTAAAATAATTACCATTAAGTTTGAGGATAAATTAGGAATAAAAGATAATACAGTGAATGACAACTTGTTTATTTTACTGGATGGGGATCCCAAATGGTACTCAGGAGGCCTGGACAGCCCACCTATGATTCTCAGTCAATCAGGCTATCAGTTCAATGCAAGGGCTAAGGATCCAAAACTGTTGGGCCCTGTGGTCATCTAGCGATGCTCAGGGGACCATGTGTGGTCAGGAATTGAACACAAGTCAGTTGCATGCTAGGCATATGTCCTAACCATTATAGTATCTCTGAGTCCCCGTTTAATTATTTTTTAGAGCAATAACTCCCAGTAAAGCTTAGCCCAGTCTTTTGGGACATTCCAGAGATGGAAATGCTAGTCTGAAAGTGAGGTGCTTCATTCAATAATATTCTATCCTTTCAAGACTATACCTAATAATGCTTGTGGGCCATGTGGTGCCAAGAATTGAACTCAAGGGCCTTGCAGATGCAAATTATATGCTCTGCACTTGAGTAATATGTTCTCCCCAGTCTCATATTGACAATTTTATCATGCTTTTGACTCAATAGGAAGAGAGATACACGTCATCAGTGTGTTTGGAGCTGATGGGGATCTTTTCCTTATGAATGAGATATTTTTTAGATTATTTATAATGGTGTGAGCTAGCCAATAGAATTAGCCAGTAGAAAATTCAGAGGTTGGGAGGAGGACTGGACTGAAAAGATATATGAAGGATTATGGATTCTTAACTGTTAGATATATGTATTTGATAAGTCAAAAGTATCGTACATTGATATTTCTTACAGTTCAACTTAATAAATTGGAGAGCTTACATACACTGTAGACACCTTGTGCTCCCAGCAACACACAGAGCCCTTCTCAGTAGTGTTGGGAATGATGATGGGTACCCACCACTGCTGTTGTAATTTGGGGTAGTAGGAATGGTAGTACCTGTGCTGGAACTGAACTCAGGGCCCAACATGTAAGACATATGCTCTGGTGCTTATAATTATCTTAGAGGTCATTTTAGTATATATGAGTGCATGTAGGTAGGTTTGTTGATTTAATATCAGGAACCTGAGGAATTTTCCTTAACTGATTTATCATATCTCTTTGAAGTAGTAGAAGTATGAGAAACAAGAACTGAAACTTTGAAAGGATGAGAGAAATTGGAAGTGTTAAAAAATAAAGGAATTAGAAGGAATAGATAAGAAGAGACAGACAGAATTAACAGCGGTCAGGGTTCGTAAGGACTCAGCTTAATTAGTGGTATAGAGTGGTGGTATAGCTATATATCCAAACTATAGAGTCAACACTGAAATGAGGCCTAAACTTCAACAATCAAACTAAAAAATTTGCCTGTCAAGGTGGCAGTCTATGGGGTGGAGGTGGGAGGGAACTGGGGACACTGATGATAGAAGTTGACACTGATGGTTGGATTGGTGCTAGAACATTGTATGCCTGAAGTTCAACTATAAACAGTTTTGTAGATCATTGTGCTTTAATTTATAAACTAAAGGAATGTAGACTAAGGGGGTGGAGGAGAAATGGTGAGTAGAGTAAAATAGACAAAAGAATGCCACTGAGATACTGTGTGATTTTCTTGTAGCAATCCTCTGTGATCTAAGAAAGTGGTCTCATTATTTAGAAAGTGCTGTTTTCTATAAAATTTAGGCTTGTGTGAGTAGTATAAGGAATAGGGGACAAGAAAATTCAGAGGAATTTAAGGAAATAATGGAAATTTTATTAGGTACCAAGGGTGTGACTCAGAGAGGTAGGGCACATACCTTGCAAGAGTTAGTCCCTAGATTTTATTCCTGGAAACACATGGTCATGTTCCACTGGACACTTTAGGTTCCCAACTCCATCATCAACCCTGAATGGAGTGACCCTGGTCCCTGAGTTGGGATTGTTACAACTAATCAAAAACAAAACGTTTGCTAAAACAATGTAACTAAGGATAGCAAGAGAAACAAAGATGAGTGTTTGCAGGGTGGAGGGAGAAGGATTTGAGCTAGCAACTGATGGATATGGAGATTTCATAAATTGGAAGATCCAAGGCATTAAAAAATACATAAGTTAAAAATAGCTAGGATTATAGGAAGGAAGGTTATAATAATGTCAGTTGTCCAAAGCTATGATTCAGAGAGAGTGATTTCAAGTTATGACAAATTTCAGGGTGTGTTCATGACAATAGTTTTTGAAGGGAAGATTCTAGAAATTTCCTTCTGGTCAAGGAAATCAGTGACTAAATTGTTGATTAGTTTAGAACCCATGTGGGCTCTGATGCTATTGTGGGTAAGTATATACATTGAAGTACAGCAAAAGGCAGTAAATAATTTTATAAATGGAAATCATTCAATATATGAGCCCTTAGGGATAATGATAAGGAAGAAAGGTGGATACAGAACAAAAGTATGAGAGACATAAAGGAAAATGACAGTTTATAAGGGGAGGGTAATCCAAGGTGAAATTAAAGCATGAAGGAGAAAATTGCTAAATATATAATAATGAAGTCTTATGTGAAAAAGTTGTAAAAAAAATTACATGTCCTAACGATAGAATTGCACTTAAAGAATTTTATTCATTTTTAATATATTATTTTTTTGGTTTTGGTGTCACACTCAGCAATGCTCAGAGCTTATGCCTAACTCTGAATTCAGGGGTCACTCCTGACTACACTCAGGAGACTAATTGCTGTGCTGGAAATCAAACCTGGGTTGGGCATGTGTAAGGCAAGCAACCTACCCTCTCTCCAAATCCATTAATTTTTATTTTAAAAATATATTATCATATATTATATTTAAATATATATGATAATATATTTTTAAAATAGTGAGGTAGGGTAGAGTCATTCAGAGATTATGAGAAAGCAAAGAGAGATAAGAGAATATTCATGATAAAGTATGAATTGAAATTTTTAACTTGAAGTAATACCATATTAGGGATATCAATTACTTTTATTGAGTTTTGAAGTTGGAATGTATCTTCTCAGTTTTCTATCCTGCGTTTATAACTGCTTTTATAATGTTGAATTCCTAGAGTCCAAGGTACTATTATTTAAAATAAAGAGATAACTTAAAATAACTTGTTTTTCTTTAAGAAGTTGTTTACAAATTGAAATCATTGCATTATTTATTCTATATTTACATGCTTTCACCAACAGAATCCTTTTATGCGTATTTTTATCAAGCTTGGTTTTAACAAAGGAGAAAAAAATAGGTTAAAATTTCTCTATGGGTATTAATGATATGAAAAAATTATGCAAATATTTCTATTTTGGGCAAGAGGAATGCAAACTTATTTCTAACTTTGCTCATTTAAGGGCACTATAAACAAGATAAAATGTCATCTATGTATTATTTATATCACCATAGAGAGTAGATTGTTAGAAAATAAATTGCTAGCAAATAAAAAATATTTGTGTAAAGAATTAAATTAACTGGTTTGTTACTTTGGTTGTGGGTGTGGTGTAGTAACATCCTCCCACACATTTGAAGAGATTTGAACCTGTCCATCCATCTGCAGTGCAGTAAATCTACAAACATTACCCCAATTAAAAAATTATCAATAAAGAAAAATCACCCAAAAAGCTATTTTTGAGACACTTTTTTAAAATATAGCTATAAATGAAAATTTTCAATATGCTAGGAGAGATTGTGATGCAGAAATGCATGTTAGCGTCAATAAAATTTTAACATGTAATATTTAACACATATAATATTTCAGCATATCCAATTTAACCAATGAAGAAAATACTATTTAGATGAAACAAGTGAATGAACGAATGAATGAATGAATCACAAGTGAATGGAGATAGAAATATTCAGAATTTAATTTTTCTATAGACTTCCTTCCAACTATAATAAAATACAAAAAGTTTAAACCCACTTATCTGCTTCTCATTGTTAACGTTAAAATTCTTAATTACTTTTTAATTTTAATTATATTGATAAATTTCAGAAGAGCAGTAAAATTTTCCATGCAAATTTTATGATTTCCTCCATTTCAATATATCTGCTAAAATACATAATAGTTAAAGATCTCAAATAACTTTCATTATAGTCTATATACTAGACATGGTGAGAAACTACTTTCTACCATGTCCCATTCTCCATTCTTAAAACACACAATTGAACCCCAAAACTCTGGTTTTCCTCCCTCTCTCTGTGTTAACTTCATTTTCACACTCAATGATATCTTATTCAAATACAAAGCATAAATTTCTAACACATTTTCCATTAATATTACTGTCTTATTATTTCCTTAAAAATTAACAGCAGGAGAAACGTCAAATTCCCCAATTCAAAACTGTAAACTACAAATAGGAAACTAATTTTTCAGAGAGAAAATTGTACTTACTGATACATCACGTTCCTGTTGAATAATGCAAGCTTCTCCGACTCTGTGTTGCTTTGTGATTTCTGGTCAAATGAGTAGCATCCTGGGCATTCTTTCAAACTAGTAACCTGACAAAAGGAAGAATGCTAAAAAGGGTTTAATGTAAACTTGTTTAACAAGTTGGGATGGATAAACTTTAGCCAATAGTATGGTTTGTGGTAAAGAATCACTTGATAGGTCTTTGTTGCAGGAAGTAAAAATTTCCTGGTTCTGGCCAATTAAAATTAAATGAGAAACAATATTGTGCACAAAATCTAAGCAACACCCTTGAAAACTTGAAGAAATTTTGTACTTGTCTCTCATGCAGTAACACTTCCATCTGAGTCAGCGCAAGTATGTTCTTTATGCTCTTTCATTCATCATCCAGAGGAGGAGTGAAAATAAATAAAAGGTTTTTGTAATATGATATGATAGTTCTTGCCTTGAATAGCCCTTGATTTGCTTTTCTCTGTGCAATGACCCATGTATTCATGTCTGGTCTGGGAATTTGCGTCTCTGCCCTAAAAGAGAATCCAATTTGAAGGTAGGAAAATAAAAATCTACTTGTGCCAACTGCTATTGTCTTTTTCTATTGAGCGTCCCAAGCGGTTCTTGGATTGCTGAGCCTCAGATTCAATGAGAGCACTCACTGGGAGGATGCATTGCATTGCGCTGGCCCTGCACTGCTTTGAGTGAGTGCAGCCAAGGCTGCACCAGGGTGTGAACCCCTGGAAAATCTGACCCACCAACTGTTGTTTTATTTTATTTGGATCACACCTGGCGATGCTTAGAGCTTACACCTGGCTCTGCACACAGGCATTACCCAGGTACCATATAGAGTGCCGGAGATCAGACTGGGGTCAGCCATGTACAAAGCAAGCATCCTACCTGATGTGCTACTTTTCCAGCCCCACCAGCCTCTTCTTTAAAAAGTTTCACCAGGTAACTCTCTCCTTTCCATGAGCTCTTTCTTTTAGCTGTGGGTTATCTAACTTCCCTGACTGCAGAGATCTGATTTCCGTTGATCTAGTCTTTTATTCTTCAACCGGCATGTGGGCTGAATCAGAGAGGTCAGAAACAACTAGTGCTTGTGTGATGTGGAGGAAAAGCTACCTTCATACAAAGTCAGTGGGGATGGAAACTGGTTCCGCCTCTGGAAAATGCTATGGAGATTTTTAAGATATTAAAAACTGATACTCTATATGATCCAGCAATACCTTTCCTAGGTATTTGTTGCAGATGATTTATGCAAAGTGAGCAGAAGAGAGGTGGCACCCTCCAAAGGGGAATTTACTGTTTTTCTCTCAAACCCCACTCCATCACCTGGGGAAATTCCTGGGAAATTTTAAGATTGATAAAATTTTGCTGTACCTGCACATGGTAAAAACCATACATGTCACGAGTTCCCTGCCACAGTCATCAAGTGGCACCTGTCACACGTGTTCTATCTGGCATGGAAAATTATCCTTGCCACCCGATTTCTTGAGGGAGTCATAGACTCAGTCTGGAACAAATACTTGTTCTGTTCAGGAAAAGGAGAATCAGTCCTAATATTTGCCCAGAGTTTTCAGGAACATTGTTGTCCCTCACAGAAAAAAAAATAAAGAGGCAACAAATAGTGAAGTGGGGTGGACTCATTCAGAGATTATGAGGAAGCAAAGAGAGATTAAGAGAGAATATGCATTCAGGAGAGAAATTGAGAGCTGAGATAACACATGTCTGGTAGAGATGCAGGTGACCAACCCTCTACAAAACGGGGAAGGCCACCCTCTTGTCTTTGCAAACTGGATTTATAGATCTTCTCCCAAACTGTCTCTAGGACAAGAGATTTGAACTCTTGGTGGTCTTCCTTCATCTTATCACAGCCTTTTTTTTCTGAAGATGTTTATCCTCTCCTACGGGGTTCAGACTTCTCCAGGGTTAGCACTGGTACCAGTTGAAGTCTTACTGGGCCTCAGTTCCTGTGTCCACAGGGTGGGCCTGGCCATCATACCTCTGGCCAACTTTACAGTTAGAGAGTAATATCTTTAAATCACATCTTGGTTGTATCACTTCACGAGAATTCATTGTGAGCACTGTCCTCACCTTAAATGCATCTATCTGCCTACTTCAGTATCTATCCAAAGAATAATATTAAATAAGTGAATACACAGGTCCACTGACATAATACTTACAGTAGTTTTGATCTGAAACAACAAATACCCAATGACAGATAAGTGGATAAAGAAAAAGGTGGTATATATACACAATGACATACTACTCAGCCAAAAGAAAAGATGGAATTTTGTTTTTCGCAAAAAGAAGGACCATGGGGTATCATTTTAAGTTAGGTAAACTAGAAAGAGAAAGACAGAAATACCTAATCTGACTTGCATATGATACACAAAGAAGCAAAGCAAAGAAATAGACAATGTCCAGTGAAAATAAGCCCCAAGACTGAGTGTACAACTGAGTTTATCAAGGAGGTCAGAGGATAAGAGGCATTTTATGGGGCTCAAAGTGACAGTATAGTTAGCACTCCTGTCTTGCATGATGCAAACCTGGTTTTGCCCCAAAACCCTTATGATCCCCCTAGCTCACCAGGATTGCTCCCCGAGCACAGGGCCAAGAGTAAGCCCTGAGCACTGCCAGTTGTGACTCCAAAATAAAGAACAGAAAAGAAGCATTCTATGAATAGTGATTCGGGGAATTTGGTACATTTTCAGTGTGTGTGTGGGATGGTAAAAAGTCTTCCTAAAATTGAAAAACATTTACATTATTGTAGAAAAACAAAATGCATAATAAGAAGAGTGCAATAATGAGAATTTTATTTTAGAGTCATGAAAAGATACTTTGTTCTTGTCTACCCAGGGGTCCAAGAACCACTCCCTGTGATTGTCAATTGAATGTTATAGCTGACGTTGAGATCCCGGGGAAGTGGTGATGCTCAGGCCTGCAGTGCTCAGGACTTCCAGGCCACAATTTAGTGCATGAGGGTCTTTCAGTCTGCATTGTTGGGAACCAGGTTATGTAAGTGATTAATATCTGGAGTTGGCCAGAGGCAAGGCCTGTGTCTTAACCCTTGTATTGTCTCGGGTCCAAGAGAAACATTTTTGTTGTTCTAGAAGGGTTAAAAATATGTTGCTGCTCTTCATTTAAAACATAGTGTAGAGGTTTGTTTGTTTTTTTAATTAATATTATTTTCAGGCTTCAGGATCCTTTTTTTATGATCATAAGGTTTAGTGTGGAGAGTGAGGAAAGTATGGAATCTGAAATAGATCTGGGGAACAGACTTTTCATAAAGTGTTGGACGCCAGTACAGCAGCTTTGTCTACAATAAAATCAGTCTTTATTTTCTTAGGTATATATAATATAGTTTTGAAAGAGCAGTCCTCAGTTTCCCTTGACAAATATCAGGAGATACCCCATCTTCAACCACCTTACAAATTCTATTACTTTGCTACCTTAAAATCTAGTGCACTCCACAAATTAACTCTTTAGCACTCCACCAATTGCTCCTTAGGCTGAGTCAGTGATATTTTTCACAGATATTCTCAGGCCAAGGAAAGGAATGAATCAATAATCTTCCTCAACCAGGAAGCAGGAGCAATCCTTGTGGACAAAAGAAAGCATCAAGGACTGCCTAGGTCTCTGAGCTTCCAAAGTGCTTAGTTAACATAAAATATGCCCAGAGCCACATTGCACAACAATGAAGTTCAAACACTTCTCAAAATTCTGTCAAGAGCTGTCAGAGCACACTGACCCTGTCTGGCAACTCAGGACTTAAAAGAGAGCATCATGGGTCTTACAGCAGTTGGCCAATGCAGTGTTATTGCGAAGAGAAGCTATAAACTCCCCACAACCATTCAGCCTTGCTCCACAACCATTCAGCCAAGCTTTTTCTCTAATTCCCCCCAGGTCTAGGGCTTCTTCTTATCTGTATTCTCTATCAATTTGGCTTCTTTGCAACTTTGAATCTCACCTCCAGCAGACAGTTTTGGGTGAACCTGGACAAATCCAGGACCACTTGACACTGTTCATAACACAGACACTTAAACCTGTCTTTATCTGCAAGACATTTTTTTTTTTCATTTTGGGTCACACTTGGAGATAGGGATTATTCCTGGCTCTGCACTCAGGAATTACTCCTGGCAGTGCTCGGGTACCATACGGGATGCCAGGGATTGACCCAGGTCGGCCCCGTCAAGGCAAATGCCCTACCCACTATGTTATCACTCTGGCCCCATCTGCAAGACTTTTAAGCAACATTGTTTTAATAAACTAAAAACAATATTTTAATAATGTATTTTATATTAGTATAAAAATGCCTATCTTGGTCCAATGATACTTTGCTAAATTCCTTGTGAGCTTAATTTCCATTTTTTTGGTATTTTTTGTTTTTGCAAAGAGAGACACTGATTTAGCAACAGTTTTTTTTTTAATTTTTATTAGTGAAACACCATGAGGTACAGTTGTAGATTTACAAATTTTTGTGCTTGGGTTTCAGTTATACAATGATCGAGTACACATCCCTCCACCAGTGCCCATTCTCCACCACCACTAATCCCAGTATCCCTCCCACCCCCTTACCCCACCCCCACCCCACCCTGCCTCTGTGGCAGGGCATTCCCTTTTGTTATCTCTCTCCTTTTGGGTGCTGTGGTTTGCAAAAGAGGCATTGAGTGGCCATCATGTTCGGTCTAGAGTCTACTTGTTTGTTCACTGCAGCACTGTTTACAATAGCTAGAATCTGGAAAAAACCTGAGTGCCCAAAAACAGATGACTGGTTAAAGAAACTTTGGTACATCTACACAATGGAGTACTATGTAGCTGTTAGAAAAGATGAAGTCATGAAATTTACATACAAGTGGTACTACATGGAAAGTATCATGCTAAGCGATATGAGTCAGAAAGAGAGGGACAGACATAGAAAGATTGCATTCATCTGGGGAACATAAAGTAACAAAATAGGAAACTAACACCCAAGAATAGCCAAGATAAGTACCAGGACGTTTACTCTATGGCTTGGAGGCCAGCCACACACGCTGAGGCAGCTCAAATAGAGAACGGAGCACCAAATAAAGGGTGTTGGGAAGATCCTCCCAGGATGGGAGCAACAGTTATTTAATTCCAGTGGCTTATAGGACAGCAATGATCCTAGCTAGTGATACCTCACATCAGCATAGTATAAAAATGACTGGGATGAATCAGACGCAAGGTTTCCTGCATTCTATTCCTAACCTGGAGATGAGCTCCTGTATCCCTGTATTTCTGTATCCAGAATTTGGAGAAATTCTGTTGGTTTTGATTTCATATAAGACACATAAAAAGTTAAGAAAAAAAAAAGGAGACACTCTCCAGCAACAATTTCAATCATTGTAACAAGTTTATTTTTCCATTTTGGTGACAGCATGAAGGAATGCCTCAGACATTTCTCTTTCAAATAAACTTAGTTATAAAGCAACAAATTTAGTCCGTGGAAAAGCATATTCCTATTAATATAGAGATTTCTTTTTTTAATATAGAGATTTCTTAGTAAAAAAAATTACACTTTGGGACCAGCAAGATAGTACAGGTCTTCCATATGGTCGACCCAGTTCAATCCTTACACCTCATGGAGTAGTTCCTGAGACGTGCCACGTATAGCATCAAACTTTCCCCTGCCTCAAAAACAAACAAAAATAAAAGAGAGAAAATAGAATTTGGGGTCCTGGAATTTTGCTCAGTATTAGAGCAGTTGCCATATTTGTGTCAGGTCCTGGATTCAACTCTCAGAGCCATTAAAAATACACATATACTTTTATTTTTGTTAACTAGTTCATTTATCTGAACATTTAAGGGGTTTGTATTTTAGTTATTTTGATTCAAGTAATAGTATAACAGTATGAGTTATAGGTGTGTTATTATTTAAAATCAACTGTTTATACTACATCAACATCACCACTAAAGTTCAATTATATCTATTTACTTGTATATTTGTTAACATGTTTTTATTGGGGATCCACCAGGGATGCTCAGGACTTGCTTCTGGCAGTAGTTGGAAGAACCATATGTGGTGCCAGAGATTAGATCAGCTTCATTCAAGATAAACCTCCTTAAACCCTGCACTTTGTCCCCCTTTTCATATACCTGTTTATATTATTTCTGTTTGATTATTGTAAATATTTATTGCTATTTAATGTATTGATTTCCTCTTGGTTTAAAATGCCATACAATTTGGAAAGTACAATGTCACACCTAAATGCATCAGTCTTGCTGCAGCCACCACCAAGATTCAAATGTCATCACACTGTCACAGTGATCTCCTCTACACTTCTGTTCTTTATTGCTGTTGAATCATGAATTTCATTGATAATTCAACATCACAACTTTTTTGGTCCAGTCTTGTTCCAAATTAGTTCTTATGGCGACCAAAGTCCATCAAAATCCGACAGGGATTTTGTGCTATGTACTATTTATAGCTGGACTTTAAAAAGTGATTATTAAGGACTTTTTCTTTAGATAGATGTGAATTTTGATACAGAACAATAGTACAACAGGTAGTGTGTTTGCCTTGCACGCAATCTACCCAAGTTTGATCCCTGACATCCCACATGGTCCCTGAGCACTGCCAGCAGTGAGCCCTGAGCACAGAACTAGGAGTAAGCCCTGAGCACCTCTGGATATGACCCCCAAACAATACAAAACAAAATGTGAATTTTACTCTAAGACTCATGGACACAAGTAACAAAGCCATTTGTTACTATTTGTTTTTATTACCACAATATATTTTGCAAAATTCACAAAGCAATATTACTGATAAACAAAAATGCCAACAGTGTAAAAAAAATGATTTTTACAATCTTAATGGAGTCACAGCATCATTTTTACTGATATTAATTTACAATAACATACTTTGTAATTTGGGGGCAGGTTTTAAACATCCTTGATTTTTTAACCTTTATTGTTCGTTGGGAAAGCCTCACATCAATGCCATGAGGTAGATAGTGTAATGTTCCATTTGGTAGATGGAAAGCATGAGGTAAAAGGTATTGTATAATTCCTACAATATCACTTAATATTTTAAGATTAGTCTAAAGATAGGAAAGATATTCACTTACAATAACCTTTACATTTATTGGATTTATCTCTCGTCTTTTTATTTCCCTCATTTGTAGTAAAATGTTATTCAATTGATCAATTATTTAAATAAGAATTTATAGCTTTCAAACATTTATGCAAAAGGTTAAGTCTTTGAAATATGGAGCTACAAAAAAAGCACAAATTCATTTTTACAGAACTAACATTGTAAAAAATTATTTTTGCTGTAGACAAAATTTGGTTTTTCTTTGCACCAAAGTTTACATTTAGCTTTTGTAGAAAAAAGGCGTATCAAGCACATCTCAAATTGCTAAATATTCTCCAAAAATTTTTGGAAATTTGCATATAGAAGAAAGCATAATAATTTAAATATTTGGTCTACTTTTTCTTAACATATTTAGTTATTGGTATTTATTAGCTCAGGTACTTGGAGACATTTTCTTTTAAGGAGAAAAGTACATGGATTACACTCTTTGTTTATTTAGATGTAGAATTTTACATTATTTATTGTACTTACGTATATTGCATCTAAACACACACATAGAAACTAATAAAACGTTCAGTCTCTAAGAGATTGAAAGGCTTGACGTTCTTCTAATAAATCAAAGCAACAAATCTGGCATATTCATATTTGAATACTAGCATTCTCATAAAGTGCTAGAAATGAATACAGCTATATCTCTGTAGTTACAAAGTTAGCTAAAAACAATAATGTTAACCTTTAAGTAACTGTATTGGGCAAAACATAATGCCCAAAAGGAGAGGTGGGGAGGTAGGGGTGAAGGAAAGAGAGAGAGAGAAAGAGAGAGAAAGAAGTGCCTGCCATAGAGGAAGATTGGGGGTGTAAGGGAAGAAACTGGGGACATTGGTGGTGGGAAATGTATAGGAGTGAAGGGATAGTTGTTGGAACATAGAAAACTGAAACCCAATTATGAACAACTTAGTAACTGTATCTCACAGTGATTTAATTAAAAATATAAAATAAATTAAAGATAAAAATGATCATGTATCCTATGACTGCTCATTTATAAGTAGTACAGTCTAAGAAATCAATTCTGTGATTTTAATTAAGCAAAAGTACATTACTTCATTGAGTATAAAAATTATAATAAGTAGTATTTGAGAGCTTGCCATCCACAAATACTGTTCTCAGGACTTTCTTTATATTTAGGTATTTAATCCTCATGACAGCCATATGAGGTAGGTACCACAGAAAAGATGAAAGAGATAGTGCTTGAGGATGTTAGAAAATCTGTGCAGGAACCACAACTCATGCACGGCAGAGTCAATATTCAAATTTGAGCAGCTTGTACTCTTTACGACTAGACTTTGGGAAGCATATAATAAAATCCAAAAATAATTCACTCACAATAAATTAAGCTAATATTAAAGGAACGCACTTAGGAATTCCTTTCTGTTGTAGCAAATGTGTACATAGTGCTTAGTATGTATAAGTCACTATCCTAAGTGCCTTACACAAGTCACTTATCCCTAAATGATATTGTAATAGACACCTGACAAACAACTTACAAAAGCACCAGTTACCATACACTGCTTTAGATATTTCTAAATAAATATATGGATAGTTAAATCTGCTTAAAAAATCTAAAGAGTGTTTGTCCCATTATTATTTATTTTAAACCAACCCTTTCAGCTAGTTTCCATCAGTTCTTTTTTATTACCCGTGTGCCCACTAAAGAAATGGAGTGAAGAGATATTCTTTCTCCATTATGGGATAACTTCAGTCAATCTATTGTATTGAGGTATCCTGTCAAAATGCTATGAAAGAATAAATTAGAAAACAACATGTATGCAAGAGCTATTATTTTTGTATAACAAAATTAACAGCAAATTATAATGTACTTAGACATCTTTTAAATAGAAATTTTTGTCATCAATGGTAGTTCATTATTATTATTATTTATGAGCCCATAAATAGAGTTTGCAAATTCCACTTCTCCATTAGAGCCACAATGTCCAATCTTTGATCCTAGAATATTGAAGTTTTGAAGCTCCAACGAAGACTTCTGACAAATATTTTTTTCTGGGAGAGTCACAGGTGTAGTGAGGTTTTGGACATCTTGAGAGTTTTATATACCCTCTGTAAAATGATGTTTCCTCTGGTTTCAATTGGCAAAAACTGTTAATATTCATCTTATGAACACATATCACAGAGTTTCCTTTGTGACTTAAGAGTCGGTGCTACAACCATCTGCTGTATTTTCAATTCTCAGGAATGGAGTTTGCTCTCATGAATGCAAAAGGCATTTCATGATAACACATAGGTCGGAGTCTGAAGGATTTCTTGACATCCAACATAGACAAACCACATGAGTAAATATAATGAGCAATATGCAGGTGTTTTAGATCTACATGATTTCACTGATGAATGCTTTGCACTAGATACCAGTCTTTGAAGCAATCCAAGTTCTGTATTGAGTTACTCTTGTGTAGACTCCAGGTTTTTTGGGAAGAGCACATGATTGTCCCCAGCTTACTATACCAACAAGGTACCAGATGTCATGATTGTCATAAACCAGAGGTCCACCAGAATCACCCTGGAAATAAATCCAAAGCATATTAAAAATTTGTTCACTCTAGGGCCAGAAAGATAGTACAGGGGCTGATGCCTCATAGGTTGCTGACCCCACTTCAATCCTGGTACCACACAGTACTCTGAGTAATGTGAGCACCCACCCCACATATTCAGGGTTGACCAGGTAAGTCCCTGTGACCACAGGGACCAAGCTGCACCACATCTTCAGGTCTTCACATTAGACCTCTCTCACAGATGGCTAAGAATGATTGAAACATCCTGAACTCTTGAGTGCTATTGTTGAAAATCCCCACAAATTGTTCACTGAAACTGAATTCAGAAAAGGCATTGCAATTACCTATTTTCTATAGGAAATGAGTTGAAATTTGAAATTGGTATATAAAGCATGGAATCAGATTAGAAGTAGACTAATGTTTCTATAAAATGAGTTAAAATTTTGTTCAAAATAACAGTGGTTGGGGGCTCATAAGCTCTTTGGTGCAGGGCATGTACAGTAACTTTGTACATCAATACCATAAAATTTAACACTATTTGACCAATACTACCTAAATTGTAATAAATTTTTTTAAATTAATAAAATTTTGTGCTAGGGGCTGGAGCAATAGCATAGGCGGTAAGGCGTTTGTCTTGTACATGGCCAAGCCAGGTTTGATTTCCAACATCCTATATGGTCCCCTGAGCACTGCCAGGGGTAATTCCTGAGTGCAGAGCCAGGAGTAATCCCTGTGCATCTCCAGGTGTGACCCCAAAAAGCCAATAAATAAATAAATAAATAAAATTTTGTGCTAAACTTTAAAGTGTATAGCACTCATTCATGTAAAACGATTACAACATTTTTGTAAAATGTATTTAAAGCATTTCTGCATGCTTCTACTTTGAATATAAAATATTAAATATAAAATTCATATTTAGTTGGAAAAATTAAATTTTTATTTTTTAATATTGAATATTGTTAGTTTTGAATATTGTTAGTGAATTGAATTGAATATTGTTAGTTTGAGTGTATTTTTTGCATTTGCTTTTGGTTTCTTTCACTTTTACTCACAAAAGTAATTCAAGCTTCCTTGTTGAATTTTTTCTCAAATTTTATTTCATTAAAGCATGATGAATTGCAAAGTTATTGTTCATTGAATTTTATCCAAGCTCCTAAAAGTCTGTTTTAACATAAAGACAAATAAATACACAAGTAGACAGAGAGAGTTTAAAAATGGAGTAATGAAATCATGATGGCTACGTTTCACTGTCACTTGAGGACAAGTAAAATGAGGGACAGTTACTGATAAAAAGCGTTATTGGCAGCATGCCAGCAAGTTGGAAGGTAAATTTATTCTCAAAGTAGTCATCTTGTATTTTCAGGTACAGAAATTTAAGGTAGATAAACAGAGAAATATATCAGGGAGACACATTTTTATGAACGGAAGAAATATATCAGGGAGATAAACAGAGAAATATATCAGGGAGACACATTTTTAGGAAGGGACGATCCTAGACTACTGGGTACCAGAATGAATAAAATCTCATGAGCTAATCTCTGGAGACACACTGCAAAACCACACAAAGGATTAGGTTTTTTGGAAAAAGATAAACCACAAACCAAGAGCAAAAATGATAAAGTGATTACTCTTATCTTTACATTTTGAGACAAGGATAATTGTAGTTATTGACCCTTGGTCTGATTTCAGTCTTAGTAGTTAAGTTCAGATTTCAGACCCTGCTTCTTTAATTATTATGTGACCTAGGGAAAAATAATTAACATTTGTGTACTTCCTTTTTTGTGGTTTGTTTTGTTTTGTTTTGTACCAAAGAAAAATGAGAAAGGTGGAAGAGGAATGATGACATTATCAGATGCAATATTTTGAATTTACAAAGTCTTTACAACATTCAAGTGGTGTTGTCAAGCAGAGATTGAAAATATACTTGAACATCAAGAAGGAATGAAACTAAAAGTATTAAGTAATGGAAGGGTATAAAGTACAGAATGAAAAATAAAAGCAGGCACAACATAGACAAGGAAATGGACTGGAGAGATATTACAGCAAGCTCTTGCCTCTCATGCACGTGACCCAAGTTTGATCCCCAGCAAGCCAGATGGTCCTCTGAGCACCACCAGGAGTTATTCCTGAGAGCAGAGCTTCAGATACAGGAGTAATCCCTGAGCACCACCAGGTATGACCTAAAGCCCTTTTTAAAAAAAGAAAGGAAAGAAACAATAGAGGTAGGGATAAAAATCACTAGAGGAGGTCCAGAGCAATAGTATAGCAGGCAAAGGGCTTGCTGTGCACACAGCCGACCCAGATTCCAATTCTGTCACCTCATGTAGTCCCATGTACCTACCAGGAGTGATCCCTGAGCAGAGCCAGAAGTAAACCCTGAGTACTGCCGGGTGCAGCTCCAATACAAAAAGCAAAAACAGCACAGCAACATGAAGAAAGAGAGAATATTAAATGCTAAGTTAAAGGGAATAAACTCTTAAAAATATTGTTAGAGATTATTAATGGGCCATTAAAAGCTGTAGGAAGAGCTATTTTCATGAAATGAGACAGAAACCATAATGAAATTAAGGAATTAATGTGTGTGTGTGTGTGTGTGTGTGTGTGTGTGTATGTGTGTGTGTTGAAGAGTGGAAGGAATAAAATTGAACAAATAGTATAGGCAGTTTTCCAAATGACCGATAAGAAGAAAAAAAATAAGAATCGGTTCTGGCTGAATATATATATGTGTTCAGAAAATGCTCATTTTTGTCCTTTTCCTACCTTTCCCTACTTCTTGGAAATATCATTTTTCTTATTAAGGTAAAGGTAAAGGTAAAGGCCCTCCCGTTGATCGTCGATTTGCTCGAGCGGGCCCAGTAATGTCTCCATTGGAGACTTTGTTACAGTGTTTGGCATATCGAATACTCTGGGTAGCTTGCCGGGCTCTCCGAGAGGGGTTTGGGCGCTTGCCTTTTCTTATTGAAGAAGAATATAAATACAAGAGAAATGTAAACCAAGAAAAGAGACCAAAGAAATAATTCTAATGTAAACTTCTCCAAAAAGCCAAAAACATAAAGAAAGAGAGTGTTAGGGATGAGTTTCTTGGTCTGTAGAGAGAATACACTGAGTTCAGAGGCTTGCATTTGCATGCACGTGACCCAGGTTCTGTTCCCAACACCACATATGGTTCCCTAAATCTCACAGGAGTAATCCCTGAGTGCTGAGCCCAGAGTAAGACCTGAGCACTGCTGAGTATAGCCAAAAATTAAAAATAAAATTGGGAATAATTTTGCTGCTGCCTAAAGTGGAGGTAGATGAAAATTGTATAGATTAAGCCAGGTCTGTATGTTTGATATTGGTATGACAAAGAAATTTTCCTTCTGTGACGTCAATTTTTCTTGGAAAATTAGGAAACAAAATAATCAATTGAGAATAAAAAAGTAGTAGAGAGAAAAAAATAGAAATTCAAGGAAAGTGGAAAATTTTAGGAACATTTAAAGATGAGTAGATTTGTAAACAAACATTAGGAATTTCTGTTTTGTTATCTGGAAATTATTATAGACCCAATGATCTATTTATTTCCCAGAAGTAGGTGACTCCCCAAAAGTAAGCAGAGTGGGTTCAGAGAGGAGTTTGGGTAGTTTCAATAGTTGAATTCTTGTAGGTTTGTAACTTTGTCAGGAAGAAATACTGAAAGACCCAAGTGAAGTCTATCTTTTGAACAGAGGATTAAAAAAATAGATATTTCCATCTAAATTGGACAAGTGGAAGACAGAAAAGGAGAGGATTAATGGATGCAAGAGAGTGGAAAAGAAAACGATATATACAGCTGTATCAAATATTTAATATAGTCAAAAATATTTGTGCTGGGAACTATTTTAGGTATGGTAATATCTGAGTAAATAAAATACAGACCCATAACTATACATTGATGTGCTGTGTATTCCAACTTAATGGAAGAGACAGACAATAAGGTGAACCAAATATACTGTATGTTGTAAGCTGATAAAAGCTAAAACAGAAGAAAAGATATTAGGGTATCTATGCATGTGTACGTTAAGGTTTGGTTGGTCGAGGTAAACAAAAGGGTATGGCAAAGGGAGTTGAAGTAGTTAAAAAGCAAGCAGGAATGATATTGGAACAATGGAATAAAAAGATTTGAGAATTGGTATTTTTTAAGACAGAATAGTTTTTGGTGACAAGACTCAAGACTCAAGACACGACTCAAGGAGTAGGTAGTTGAGTGGGAAGAGAGACCCCTGGGAGCTGGGAGGTCTAATATTCAAGAATGCAGCATTTAAATGGGTTAGCTTAACAATGCAGCACATAGGGTAGAAAGAAAATCTGTTTTAGGTTTCAGTCATCAAAAGAAAAAAAAAAAGAGGAACAAAGGTGAGACTCAAATACTGGTCAATGAAAACACGGTGCACGGGAGTTAATGATAGAGTTGAATAAAGTGTTCTCTAAAGAAAAGATGTTTCCCAGAATAAGATTTTGCTTCAAATTTTAAGAAAAGAGCAATAGAGTGTAAAATAAGTTTTGTATACCAGAAACAGAAAATAAAATTTCTTAATTTTTAAAGAGGACTAACTACAGTAGTGCTCTATATTATATTTTAAAAAGAAATTTTTAATAAAATAAAGTAACATATGAAAAGCTCTAAGTGCTTGGTTTGTTTGGAAATTATATTAAACAAATAATTTTTGTTATTATGATTATCAAATAAAAATGAGACCCTGGTGGATAGATACCAACCCCTAGAATAAAGAAAATATCTTTATATATAGCAAATAGAAACTTTCTTTAAAGTTTTGATCCTTATTTTGAACTTACCTTACATGCATCAACTTTTCCTTCCATGAACCCAGCACATAACATTCCTGAAGTTATCAGGCCATCGTACACATCCTTCCTGTTACACACTTCAGTGCTTATGGTTTCAACTCTGGCTTGCCGAAGTTTATTTTGTGTTGGTCCTATTACAAAAACAAACAAACACACAAACCAAAAATGGCTTATTTTAACAGAGTTGAACCTAAGATGTGAGAGACATATATGTTTCTAAGAATAAAAACACAAGTATTTTACTGACATTAAGGTAAAGGTAAAGGTAAAGGCCCTCCCGTTGTTCATTGATTTGCTCGAGCGGGCCCAGTAACGTCTCCATTGGAGATTTTGTTGTTACTGTGTTTGGCATATCGAATACATCACGGGTGGCTTGCCAGGCTCTGCCGTGTGGGCGAGATACTCTCAGTAGCTTGCCGGGCTCTCCGAGAGGGGCGAAGGAATCGAACTCGGGTCGGCCATGTTGGCTGCGTGCAAGGCAAACGCCCTACCACTGTGCTATCGCTCCAGCCACTAGTTTTGATTAATTTTACATTATGAATCATAAATTTCTACTTTTAAGGACCCATACATAAGTGTCCTGATATTATATCATATTTGTGACTCTTTGGGTTATGGGATCCAATAGCTATATCATATATTATATGTATATATGGGGGCTGGAGCGATAGCACAGCAGTAGGGCATTTGTTATTTCAATTTATATCTGTTATTATTCTACATGTCAATGTGGCTAAATACATAAACATTTTTATGAAGAGAGCTCATCATACAGATTTTATCCAAATTATACATAGTTTTCCATATAGAAAACAACTTAGAAGGGTCTTTGAAAGATGGAAGCCAATGTGCAAATAAGCCAGTAATCTTATTCCAGCACAGAGCATGGCTCGAAGTTAGGAGAAGACTCTACACAACTGAGAATTGAAAGACAAATAACTTAAAACTAAAGATAAAACATGTCAGTAAATAGCTCTGAGAAAAAATTAAAGGAAGTGAACACAAAAGAGTCTTATAACAATGTCTAGTTGGAGATTCATAGGCATTTTTAATTTTTTACATACAATAGAGTTCTGAAAAAAATATGAAAATATGCATTGACACTCATCTACTACTTTCTTCGGCAAGTCTTTGATAAAATCTTAAATATTTATATTCAACTTTAAAACATTTAAAGTTATTCTTTCTTTAGAGTGCAATGAATCAGCTATGAGAAATCTAAAATCCTAGTCTTCAAATCTCAGAGCTGATACTTTTTAAACCTGAGATGTAGAATAGACATAAAGAAATGAAGTCTATTATATGTTAAATACTGTATTATATGCTAACCAAAATGAAAGCTCTAAAAGTATTTACAAAACACTTTCATGTCAATGATTATAGTAAATCATTAAAGTAAGGAATAATTCACACAGAAATAAAAATAAGCTATTATTAAAATTGTGGTTGCAAAGAATATGGTCTGGGAAACACACAATTGCAAATTATGTACAACTTCATGGTTTCATTGTGTGTGTGTGTTTTTAATTTTTAATTTTAGACACAATGGCTTACAAATTGTAGTAGCAAAATTTTATAGATGACTGTTCTTAGCACCACATTCTCTACTTCCTTATACCATTGTCCAAAGGAGGTCCCTCACCCACTTCTCTAGCCCAGTGATAAGCTTAAAACTGGTCAGTCACCTGCCACAAAAATGAAATCAGATCCCATTGTGTTTCATTCCATTTTCAATAGCACCTAAAATAGCATATTTTCTTCTATATTACCTTTCCCTTTTCTCATTACTAACTCAATCAATAAGGATCTGATTTATTTTACAATTTAAACCATTGTCCTCTTTTCTTGTAAATACCATATTTATTTGGTATTATTTTTTATAAACAATAAGGAATTTCCTAAGGGAGTTGTTATAGCTCAAGACAAACTTGCATTAAGTAAGTAAGATTGAACCACCCACCATCATCTACTATGGACCCAAATCCTGTGACAAATACACTTGTCTTGGGTGGCAGTTTTATAGATGAATCTGGTAGACAAACTCTCTGGACAACATTGGAAAACTCAACTCTAGCAGTCATCTGTGCCAAAGCAATGTCATGTTCATTTGTTTCTTTACGGTAATTTTCATGAACGATAATTTTCCCCAGACTTCGTTGCACTGTAGGTGGTGTTATAGTTGTACCAAAAGTAACAATCCATTGATGAGGGTCTTTATTTCTGCAAGAAAAATAATAATTTTTTATTATTTTATTTTTTATCAATGAACAACAGGAGGACAGTGCTACAGATTTAGAAAATATGTGGGCTATATTAAATTTTCATGCTTTACTTTGAAGAATAATAATAGGTTATCTTTTGTCACTGTCACTGTCCTCCTGTTATTCATCGATTTTCTCGAGCGAGCCCAGTAATATCTCCATTGTGACACTTGTTACTGTGTTTGGCATATCAGATACATCACGGGAAGCTTGCCATGTGGGCGAGATACTCTCAGTAGCTTGCCGGGCTCTCCGAGAGGGGCAGAAGAATCGAACCCGGGTCAGCAATGTTGGCTGTGTGCAAGGCAAACACCCTACCAGCTGTGCTATTGCCCCAGCCCTTTTGTAATAGAAAAAATAAATTAAGCTTTAATTTTATTTTTGTTAGAAACTCATCAGTGTCTCTTTCTTTTATAGTTTCGTAATTGTAAACATGCTTTAAGCCATCTTCTCTCTCTGCCAGACAGTAGATTCATTCTTACTTCATGAATGACTTGTTGGTTCTCATTTACTAATTCTATGATGATCTTTGAAACAGTGAAATTTGTCTGCTTCATAACATATGTATATGTATGCTTATGTATGTGTGTATATATATGTATGTGCATATATATATTGTGTTTATGTGTTTATAGTCTGTGTGTGTGTATATATATACATATATATATACATATGTATATATATATACACACACACATATATATACTGTTTTGTCTTTTTTTTTCTTTTTGGGTCACACCCAGCAATGCACAGGAGTTACTCCTGACTCTGCACTCAGGAATGACTTCTAGTGGTGCTCAGGGTACCATATGGGATGCTGGGATTTGAACCTGGGATGACTGCATGCAAGGCAAATGCCTTACCCACTGTGCTATTGCTTTAGTCCCTAAATATATTATTTTTCACACTAAATATTCCTTGCTCTCATCAAGGCCAAGCACAGGCTAACCCAGTCCAAACTTGTGTCACTGTTAGTACTCTCATTTCCCTTTGATCTGGCCTTGTCATTTCCTTTTGCTATTTCGAGGTGTTCTCTTCACTCATGTGCTTTGCTGCCTCAATATGTTATATCACAAGCAAAATCTATTTATTTAATCATATCTTTACCCACCTGTTTTTCCCCCAATTCTAGTTTTCTTTCATAAATTTATCTCCATTACGAATGGCTAGAATTATGTAGAAAGTTCAGTTTCCCTGTGAAAAGGGAAATTACATAGAAGGAAGTAGAACAAAATTCTTAAAGGGGATTTCCTCATTTGTGTATTACTATTATGTTAGTGAATCACAAATGTTTAAGTATAGTGAGAAAACCTGAAAGATCAGCTACTTTCAAAGAACTCTGCACTCCCCCAGGGATGAGCTGGCAGAATCTAGGGTGGAGTAGAAACTGGAAAATGCAATGCGGAAGTAGTCTCCCTCCTTTGTATTATTTATGTGGATTTTTAAAGGGAGATTTTTTTGTCAAAGCAAAACCGAAGCAATAATCTGAAAACTATAAATTAGGAAGATACGGTTTCGGTTCCTAAGGAACTCCTAAATCAAGTGAGCAGGCAAAATAGAAATGCCCTTTTTCCTAATGCACTGTCAATCAGAAAGGTGATCTTCTATAATAGACCCATTGGTCTATTTTATCAGAATGCTTTGTGGGTAAAGATACTAAGATTCCAGAAGTTAAATAGCCTATACAAATTAGAGCATATCCATCTGGTTACTGTCTCAGAGAGAAGCAACCTGGGCCTCCCAATTTTCAATATATAACTTTTTCTTCACTCTGTTTTACAAAGACTTCAGTTGTTCTTCACGAACATAAAGATACTGAATTTGTTTTAAACATGATTTTAAAAAAATATTATTTTTAAAGAAAAAAATGTTTACACATTCTTGAAATTATTTGGATAATAAGATATTATCTGCTGAGCACCCTGCTTTTTCTTCACAAGATTATATTAAATTGAGTGAATTTGTAAGGTTTCATCACTCTCCGAATTGAACTCCTTGTTTGTAGGATCATCAGTTTTTCCATCTTTCTTGGATTATTTACCATTGGCATAAAATGTTAAAATATTTTGTATTATTTTTAAAAAGCTTTCCTTTGAGTTCACAACCAATGTCAACTGTCAAATTTATCTGCTAAAAAAAAAAGAAGTATTTGACTTTTGTTCTTGCATATATGGAAGAATTTAAACATGCTGCATATATAACAGTTTTTGATTAAAATTAATTAATTTGATTTTAAATTATTAAAGTAGAAAATACTGTAAAATATTAAATAGTGTTAAATAGTATTTAATGTTTACTATTATATTTACTATTTTATTAAATATTTACTATAATATAATATTTACACTTATTTACTAATATAAAATAGTAAATAAATAGTATAAAGTAGTATATTATTTTATTATTGTTTTGAATTTTGGTTCTGGGATCACACCTGGTATTTTCAGGGGTTACTCTTGACTCTGCACTCAGGAATTATTCCTAGCAGTGCTTGGGTAAACATATGGGATGTTGGGGACTGAACTCAGGTTGGCCTCAAGCAAGGCAAATGCCATACCTGCTATACTTGGCCTCAAGCAAGGCAAATGTGCTACCTGCTGTATTTTCTGGCACCTAAGTTAGTAAAATTATTTTAATCAACCATAGAAAATAAAGTAGAAAATGGTCTAGTGGAAGATATAAAATTTCTATCATGAGAATATATGGGAAAAACCATTAGAGTGATTTTTAACTAGACATTGAACAGAGAGAAGAGAGAGGGGAAGAAAAAGATGAGGGGTAAAGCAAGGAAAAAGCAGTCAAGTGGTTGGACAGATCCCTTCTAATAGAACAGAGGATACACTGGTAAGACTAAACTCTTCTTAGTTTGCACTGAATCAAAGACAATCAATGGCCTAAACAAGAAGATTTATACTAGACCTGGTAACCTTACTTGCGGAAACAGTGAGCTGCTGTGATCAGCCAAGTGTTACTGATGAGAGTGGCTCCACACTGATGCCCTGCCCCAATGAGCTGAAGGCTGGCTTGCCATGGCCACTCTCCTTCCACGGCTGTCTGCCTTCCATTGACAATCCTTTCAGTAGAAGATGATGCTGGTAATGGCATATTTGAAGTTGTCATTCTTATTCCACAACCTATGACAAAAAAAAATATCTATTTGCTTTTATGAAAGTGAAGTGGGGCAACCCAGTGATTGGGTGCTGATGCTTCAGAGTAATGATTGTGCCTGGAACTTTTGAACTATTCTTCAGCAGTCAGTCCCTAAGGTATTTCATAGTCATCCTATGGAGATTCATTAGAAATATTTACTAACATTTTAGGGACTGGAGCTATAGCACAGCGGTAGGGCGTTCGCCTTACAAGCGGCCAACATGGCCGACCCGAGTTCGATTCCTCCGCCCCTCTCGGAGAGCCCGGCAAGCTACCCAGAGTATTCGATATGCCAAACACAGTAACAACAAAGTCTCCAATGGAGACGTTACTGGGCCTGCTCGAGCAAATCGACGATCAACGGGAGGGCCTTTACCTTTACCTTTACTAACATTTTAAGCCATTCATTTCAGGAAATAACTTATTTCTCTCTATAAAAGACATGTATAATAAATTAATAGATATATTTTATCGTTAATATCACTTCTGTATGGATCCTCATTTACTTGTATGGATTCTCATTTACATGTATTAGATACATTTTCAGGAACACACTTTTCAGATAGGAAAACTAAGTTTTGGAAAGGGAACTTAAACTACCTCAATGTTACAGTTTTTAGTCATGACTAGATGTTACTAGGACCCCGCACCAAGCTGTTTTCACTCAGGACACCCCAGAGGAGGAGGGGTGAGAGCGCCCTCCCCGCCCCAAGGGATGCAGCCCCGGCAGAAGACCTCCACTGACCAACAGCCGTCATGCTCCACACTGCTTTCCACACGCTCAGGCTGAGCCTCACATATGAGTGAATACATAATAAGACACTCCTTACCCATTTTCCATAATTACCACACCATATTTGATACAGAAATATATATATATATATATATGTATGTGTGTGTATATATATATCGGAGAGCCCGGCAAGCTACCAAGAGTATCCTGCCCTTACGGCAGAGCCTGGTAAGCTACCCATGGCGTATTCGATAAGCCAAAAATAGTAATAATAACAGGTCTCATTCCCCTGACCCTGAAAGAACCTCCGATAAGTTGGGAAAGACAAGAGACAAGTAAGAAGAGGCTGCTACTCAGTCCTGGGACGAATGGAGCCATTACTGGCACCCACTCAAGTAAATCGAAAAACAGGATGACCGCGATTCAGTGATACAGTGACTAGATGTTACTAGAGGTCTCCAGTTTTAAACAGAGTTGGATATAAATTAGGATGATTCACATTAAAACTTGTATGCTCATTATTGAGAATTCAACAGTGAAGGAAGATGATAAGGGTACAATTACATGAATATATATAGTCTTTCCAAGCTCAAATTTTGATTCTTAAAGAATAAAGATCATTTTCTGCTTTTTTTTTTCATAAATTGGAAAAACTATAGCACTGTAGCATTGTCTTCCCGTTGCTCATTGATTTTGCTCGAGCGGGCCCAGTAATGTCTCTATTGTGAGACTTGTTGCTACTGTGTTTGGCATATCAAATACGTCACAGGTAGCTTGCCAGGCTTTGCCATGCGGGTGAGATACTCTCAGTAGCTTGCTGGGCTCTCTGAGAGGGGCGGAGAAATTGAACTCAGGTTGGCCAAGTTGGCCGTGTGCAAGGCAAACACCCTACCACTGTGCTATCGCTCCAGCCCTGGAATAACTATTCTTATTTTATTTTGGGTTTGGGAGTCTTTAGCTACCAATTTAAAAGATTACTCCGATGTTGTCACTCAGTCCTATTTGTGCTTGGAGTATCATAATTGGGCTGGGGCGCATACCCAAGGGTCTAACATGCAAAGAATGTACTTCTCTGGCCATGGAATGACTATTTTTATTATTTTTTTTAATTTAAAAAAATTTTTGCTAAAGTTTATGTAATACAGTTCAATAGGATTTAAGTTTATTATACTAATGCACAAAGTTAGTGCATCTTTCCTCCATCAAAGTGCCTAGGACCCTCCAAACTATTCTATGTCACCGCTGGTGTGATCTTCATTTTCCCCATTTCTTCCTACATGTTTATTGAAAAGCATGACCATATTACAGCTGGAAAGATAGAACAGCAGGGAGGGCGGTTGGGTTCAAAACCAGGCAGCCCATATGGTCCCTTGAGTACTGGTGGGAGTAATTCTTGAGTGCAGAGCCAGAATTAACCCTTGAGCACCACAAGGTGTGGTCCAAAACAAAACAAAACAAAAAAGAATGACCTTATTTTTTTTTTGGTGGGGAAGAAGACCATACCTAGCAGTGCTCAGGGCTCATTACTGGAAGTGTGGTGCTGAGAATCCAACCGGGGTTGGCAAATAAAAAGGTAGCATGCAGTTTGAAAACATGTTGCCTTAATCAAAATTCAGTGCCGCATATAACTGTATTCTTGGCAGAAGTTTCGAAATAAAACTTTCTTCTATCATCCAGGAATTGAAAAAAGGAAATCTATATAAGAGAATAAAATTCATGAGGCCAACGTGGGTTCAAACCCTGGAACTGCATATAGTCCTGTGAATACCATCAGGAATGATCCCCGAGTCAGAAGAAAGCCCTGAGCACAGCTAGGTGTGGCTCCCAAACAAAGCTAAGCAAAACAAAGAAAGCAAAATGAGAATAAAAATTAAACCAGTGGGGGCTGGAGAGAGAATACAGTGGGTAGGGTGGTTTCCTTGCACTCAGACACCCGAGTTGAATTCCCAATATCCCATATGGTCCACCAACCACCACCATGAGTAATCCCTGAGTGAAAAACCAGTAGTAACCCCTATGCACTGCAGGGTGTGACCCAAAAAGCAAAAAATAAAAATAAAAAAATAAAATAAATTAAACCAGCCTTAGACTTCTACTCAGAATGAAAATACTAGAAATAGAAAATGTGCAGAATTTAGAAAAGAGAATTATTTATGATCCCAGTAATCCTGTAAGAAAGAAGTTGAAATGAGAGATGGTGTGGGGATAGGAAAATGCAGATATTTCAACAAAAATTATTTATGGCTTTATTCATTATATTCAGTATTAAATTGGTAGTTAATTGGAACTTACGGCTGTTGAGAAGATTCCTCATCTTTTTGCTATCAATAGCTAAAAGAAATAAAACATGAATTAGTTCATAAAACAATATTTTCTCATTTTTCTAAAATTTTATTCAAATGGTCATTAGAAGAAATGTGTCATTCAAAGCATAATTGTTTCAAGAGAGAATGAGACTTTTTATAACCAAGTAATATACACAAAATCATTAACTGATTTAACACAAAATGTGTAATTCTACCTTAAAAGAGAGGACATTATTTATTGTTTTCTGGTTTTTACCATAAAAATTAGTTAAATGAATTAAGAAATTTGGGGGAAAATGGTGAGAATACATGTTTTTGATTGTTTTCTATAAGAGATTTAGTGTAATTCAAGGAAGCAACTTTAAATTTTTATTATAGTTGGTGTATACTGTATTAGTTGCCTTCAGTATGTGCTAGACACGTGCTAAGTGTTCTAATATTGAAAGATCATCTCCAGGAAATTAAACACACTGGAGACTTCTAATAGCCCATATACAAAATGAAACCTAATCTCATGGTAATTTTTATTCTAGTTGTATTCCATCCTAATATAAGTATTTTAGTGGTAAATTCTTAAAAGGGGGGAGACATGCATCTAACTTCTTATAAAAATTAAGAGAATTTCAAAAGATCCAAGGATGGCATGAGGACTTACATGTGAGTGTAAAGGATGGTCTGTTTATAGTCAAAGGCATCTGTTTTGTCTTCAGACTTTGATATAAAATGTTTTCAATTTTTTTCTTGATTTGCACAGTACTAGACGTAGATGGGTATCGAAACATGAGCACCATAAAAATGTTCACACCGTGTTCATCTGGGCTGAAGAGCAACAAAGTAGATAAATAGAAAAAAGATAACAAATACAGTCATATAATCATTAACTATTTTGCTTATTAATATTCATTCTATTTTTTAAATGAAAGACACAGGTAGCTATCAAACCTATTGTGTGTGTTGGGGTAGGGGGTGTTTAGGCCATACCAGCTATGCTTAAAGCTTAGTTTGGACCCTGTGCTTAGGGGTCTCTCCTGCAGTCGTGATAGTTCTGGGTGATCTTATGCAGTGTAGTGGGTTGAATGGGACTGACCCTTTGCAAGGTAAGTGCCTTTCTCCTGTACTCAGACCCCTACATCAAATTTCTAAACTATGTCTAAAAGTATTGGTTAAGAAATATAGTTGAAAATATTTATTCTCTTACTCAGTGTCTATCGGGTACTGTGATAGAAAGAGATGAATGAAACCATGCTTCATATACAATTAAATGTTTGCTTATTAAAGAATTCTGAGGCAAAATTGTTATAAAAAATCTTTATTTTACAGCCATGGTAGATAAACAAAAGACAATATATTTATTCCCCAAACCCAGTCACCTTTGCCTCCTGAGTTGAGAGCTAGATTTTATTTCTAGTTCTTTTGTGGTTTGTTAAAACTCTCTAAGTATGTTACCTGTGTATTCTGTCAATAAATAATAGTTTGCATCCTGAATACCTCACATACCACCCTAAGAATTTTATTCTTTTCATACTTGTGAAACGGATGTAGAAATTGCATTTCACTTTTCCCACTAGTACTCAACATCCCAGGATGTCACTGCCAATTATTTGTAGTGAACAATGACATAACATTTTATTGTATTAATCAATTGATATTTTTGGATTTGGTCTGTGAACATGCGTTTGATTGGAGGGTAATTAAAAGAAAAATCATTTGATAAAGAGACATACATTGTAAGAAGTAGTTCTAGAAAATGTCTCTAATTTTTTTTTCAAGAATGGCTATTAATTTAAACACAGATAATAGAAAGAGGGAATGAACAGAAAAAGCAAATGAAGAAAAAAAAGGAAAGTGAAGAGGTAAAAGTAGCATGGGATCTTTTTATCATGTGTAAAACAGAAAAATACATGATAGGTACATAGTTTGCTCTTAGGTATTTACAGAAAACAGTTTTAAAACATTAATCAAAATAGAGATAAAATAAGATGTTATTTCTGTGAAGTCAAAATGTAATTTTAATCACTGATCAAAATATAGATTTAGTTTTAATACTGGTTTTAATCAAAGCATAGATATCAAAAGACATTAAAATGATAAAACCACAACGGCACTAAATTAAGACCTTACTGCAGAAAAAGTGATAGTCTGCTCATTGGGTTTAAATCGAGGACAATCTAGAGGCTGGACAGATAGTACAGCAGGCAGAAATTTACTTTGCATGTGGCCGAACCAAGTTCAATCCCGAGCACCTTATATTGTTCCCCTGAGTCCTCCAGAAGTGATCCCTGAGCCCCTAAACACGGCATCATTGGTTTGATTCCAAAATTTAAAAAAAGAGGACAATCTACAGAACTGACCTGAATTCTACTTATTCCCTAGATTAAAAAGTAGCATGCTTCAGCAACACTGTCCCTCTCCTTTTTGTATTTTTATTTACCTTTTGAGTAATATTTATCTTTTTTTTTTATTCTAAAGCTAACAGCTAACATTTCCTCATGTCACAAAGCACTTTACATCTTTCAGTTGTGAAATGTACATAGCTAGGCAGGATAAGCTGAACCACTCACGTTTTATAAAATTTTTGTTCTACTACAAAGATTTGTTTAGGAGACTTAAGCAATTTTGTAGAGCAGTGCTTCTTAACAGATGAATTTAATGCAGCAAACCAAGTTTACATACCTTATTTTAATAACATGAGATTTGATAAACCGATTGCCTCCAGAAGAATCACGTCGAAATATCCTAGACATCTGATTAAAAAAATTTGCAAAGATTTATTATTCTTAAGAAAAATGTTACTCCTTATCTTACCTAGAGTTGAGGCAAATGAAAGAATTTGGATTGATTTCCAAACAGGTGACCTTGTTTAACCAAAGAGGAAAATTCTAGTCTTTGTTGATACACATTTTGATTTTCCAAAAATAGCCAATTCTTTAAGTACTTCACATAATATATAACATACTCTTTCAAATAATTCTTAGAATCTTGCTTATTATTTGTGCTTCTGTGCTAGGAAGATTTTCACTACTGGTACTAACTAGTTTTGAGAATAAGTCTATCATAATCTCTACTTCCATTTTATTATTTAGGTTTTCCAGTCTAAGCTGGTCTGAAAACTTTTAGATGTTTCTAAAAGTTCTAACTGAAGACTTACAGATGTTCAGTAAAATTGTTTCCTCAAGAGAACTTCTTACCCAAAAAACTGCTGAGGTACTTTTTTAGAGTCAAAACATACGAGACTGAATGTGGAAAATCATTAGTTAAAAGTCTACAGAAGTTTGCACGAGGCCCAGTTTCATATAAATCTTGCCCTGTAATTATTTATATGTCCTTTGAGAAAAAGGAAGATTCTCTTCCTCCTTGGATGATCCCTTCTTTTCCCGACTCTTCTAAACAGTAGAAACTTACAGATTTTACCACATAAAACCTTTGTGATTTTAAAGAATCAACCTCTTTTTCTTATTCCCCTGCAGTGGTATAAAATCTGTACCATGAAAATATGTGCATGGATCTTTGAAGAAGTCTCCTCACTAGTATATTTATATGCTTTTCTATCTTCCCTCCTTTTATTTGTTCTCTCCAGGAAACTAGCAACCAGGATAATATTCTGAAGTGCAAGTCTGAGTATATTAAATCCCTACTTTCAGTACAGTGTCTCCTCAGTGTGGGTAACATCCTACATCAGCTGTTTTCTTTATTATACCCATCTTCAAAGATTAAATTCTATCTGTCAATAAGAAGAAAAGGATCCTTTTCTAATTTCATTAGAATGGTTCACTCCTCAATGGCGTTGTGCATTCATGGCCCTCTTCCTATAAAATACTGTTTTCCTTAGGCAAATTTCCTCACGATAATACATTTATGCCTTAAAAATCTACAGGTGAAGGGAAGTTATCTCGAATACCTTTTCCAATGTAGAATACACATTTATTTAGACCACTCCATATTATGCATATTCAGTTATGCACCATCCAACCATCCCAACCATCCCAAAGTCTTTCTCACTCTACTGAAATTTGTGATAGCAGGAAGTATATGTGATACATCTCCTTATCTAAGTGTTACATATATTTCCTGGCCCACAGTAAACATTCAATGCATATTTGATGAATAAATCTATGAGTGAATAGATGACTACATAAATCAAGACATTAATATAGAAAGAGGAGAGGATAAAATAGCTTTATCAGAAAACCTTGCCAACTCTAAGTAGAAATGAAAATCCATGGAAATCTAAAGATGAGAACCAGGATACACCAGTGGTAGTCTTCACATGCTCAGAATATACTCTATCTCTTTAACTCTCTCCCAAAAATCTTAGAAATGTTTAGCTCTGTGAATAATAACGCTTTGGAAAAGATAAACATTCAGTCACACCAGAGTACCGAAATTGACAAAGAATCTCTTCAAACTGAAATGAGTTATTAACCAGATCATGATTCTTAGAGAAATTGACTTCTGTTTGAAATGTTGCATAAATTCTGCTGCAGCATATTATTTGCGTAACTACTGGCAATAACTTACAGGCACTAAATTCATATCAACGTTGACTAATTTCAATGTTGATACCTCATCTCCCTTTATGAGAAAATCATTTATTCTCCTCATTCCAATTTAAAGAAAAAGAAACGCTCATGATAACTGAGCAAAACTCTCTAAAGTTTCATAAGAAGTAGAACTTCGCCATATGAATCCAGAGACTGACTCCATATTGAGTTCTTAAGTACATTCAATGAATGGTCAGTTCAGACTAATTACCTACTTGATGATGCATATTGAAGGTGGCAGAAGTAGGCAAGTTCTAGGGCAGGCTTAGAGCATTGGAGCTCATTTTTTGCATATCAGGAGCCCCACGTATATGGCATTGACGACCTCCACTATGACTTAGCCTGGTCAGTTGAGTATTTCTATGAGTCACTCTTGGACACTCCATTTATATCTTGGGAGATGATCTCACACACATTTCCATTCCGTGAATGTAAACCTTATGCAAGTTTTCCTCTTGGGAATCTGCCATTTTTCTGAATCTAAATCTAATAGCACTAAGGAAATTGTTCCTTTTAAGTAACTAGAAATTTAAGCAATTTCTGAAGAAATTGAAATTATCATCTTCTACAGATAACTCATAATATTATATCTAGAACAAATATCAAAAAGTTAATATTAACACCCCCCCTTTTTTAAGTTCCAAATCTGGCAACAGATTTTCTTTTTAGTGATTAAAACCAAGGTTGTGTTAAAGTACACGGTAGAATGAAAAAAAATTATTCACCCAAAAATCATATACAAGGAACCAGAGAGATAGTTCAGAAGTTAAGGCACATGCCTTACAATTGGTGAACTCCCATTCAATCCCCAAAACCACATGACCTCCAACCCTCATTACTTGGGCAGAGCCCTGGAGACCCCCCAAGCACTGCCAAAGTGCCCCAGGTACTCACATAACTGAAAAAAATGAGCAAAACACCCTTGGGCCCTTATATTGAACTGCTAGGCAAGATCCCAGAGCAACATGACCAACTTAAAAAAATTAAAAATTAATATAGGGCTAGAGCGATAGCACAGCCAATAGGGTGTTTGCCTTGCATGTGGCTGACATGGCCGAACATAGTTCGATTTCTCTGCCCCTCTCAGAGAGCCCGGCAAGCTACCGAGAGTATCTCACCAGCACAGCAGAGCCTGGCAAGCTACCCATGATGTTCAAAACACAGTAACAAATCTCACAATGTTACTGGGCACGCTCAGCAAATCAATGAACAACAGGAGAACAGTGACAGTGACCCCATATGGTCCTCTGAGTAAGCCAGGAGTGATCCATGAGCTCAGAGCCAGGAAATATTCCTTTGAGTCATTGGCTGTGGCACCCAATACAGGACCCAGGAGATAGCACAGTGGTTAAGGTGCTTGCCTTCAATCCCCAGAACCAGATATGGTACCCGGAGCACTGCCAGGAATAATCACTGAGCACCTCCAAGTGTGATCCAGGGACAACAACAACAACAACAACAATTATATAAAAACCATAGTCATTGGTTTGAATTACAGCATTTAAAGAATATTCTTGAAGCACTGTTTATGGCTCTAAAAATGGAATATCCAGTTACTATCTTCAGTAAGTTTCAGCCATCACCTCTCCTCTCACTGGCTAAAAATGTAGCAGATAATCTTTTGTTTGTTTGGGGGCTACACCTGTAAGTGTTCAAGGCCCAGGTCAGGAATCATTTCTGTGGGGTTCAGGGACCTTATGTGGTGCCAGTATCAAAGGCATGTATCCGACCTCTTTATTACCCCTCTGGTTACTGTAGCAGATTAAGTCTTCAAGGAAAATAGATAACCAGCTGCATAATGCTAACTGTAGAATTCCTTTCTAGGTCCACCAAAATAAATAAATAAATAAATAAATAAATAAGTTATGAGGATTTCGTGCTACCTTCAAAGAAAATGCACCAGCAGAGGGCAAAGACTCCAGCTCCATTTATCTATTTTCCCTCTCCAGCAAAGCTTCTGCCACTCAATTGAACTTTTCCTTCCTCTGAATAGCTAAGATTCTCATCATTCAGGTCATAATTTGAATTATATTCTAAGATCTTCTGTGGGCTTGAAATCTTGTAATCTGTTTTCAATTTATATTTTTTCTACCTGCAAGCTTCCACATACAACCTATACTATAAACCCCAATCAAAAAGTATTATACATACCTTGACATATAAACTATATTATAGACCTCAACCAAAAATTAACTATATTATACAGACTGTGGTGCTCAGTAGCATTGTCTTCAATGGCGTTAGCTATGTTTAATCTCACACAATGGAGTGAAACAATGCTGACTTTGGTATCCTCTCATGGCTCTTTCCCTGTATACTCCAGGTCCTTCCTATTTTGCTTATATATTTACTTAACAGTTGATTGAGGCTGGCTTATGTTTCAAGGTAAGCGTAATTCAATACACTGGTGAAGGCAACAGGAGTAGTGAAGCAATGTCAAGTAATTTTTGAAAATCTAAAATACAAAAGGGTTTCCCAGGGCTGTGGCATCTAAATGATAACTGTAGAATCAGAAAGAGTAAGAAACCAGAAAGGACAACGGAACAATCACTTAAGAAGAAGGGATGTGCAGAGAATCAAAAAGAAAATTGCAGGGTGGGGAGTGGGAGGTGCAGGGGTCATACATAGAGAACAGAAGGAGTATGAAAGGGAAAGGAATCATTGAAGTTTGAACATTTGGGGTCTTGAAGGAATGGCTGTAAAATTTGTATTTCTTTCCAATACATTTGGAAGCTACTTGTGAAATTTTAGAAAAAGAATAGCATATTTTTTTTGCTTTCTTTTGTTTTCAGGGTGTATGGTGGGTGGAGGCCATACCTGGTTAATGCTGAAGAAGTAGCTGGTCCTGGATGCTATGCTTGGGGGATATTCCTTGTAGAACTCAGGGGACTATGTAATAGTGGAGATTTAAACGTGTAAAGCATGGGCTAGACATTCTATAAGGAGCTGAATTCAGTTAAATGACAGTGAATTGTGATTTAAAAAATAAGAACGTCCTATGTAAAAAATGTTTGTTCTCCACCCAAACTGGCCAGGTGTACCAGTCCCCAGATTTTCTAAGAGTTTATTGGCAAAAGTGCACATCTACAGACTTCCAGATCCTGCCCTTGTCTGACCCAGGGATCTCTAGGAGCTTATGTTCCACCTTCCCTAGGAAGCTTTTGTTGGCATAATGCCAGCAGCCCAACCCTCCTACCAATTAG